TCCTCTAGACTAAAATTATCAGAGCTTGGTTAAAACCTGGACGGAATGAGGTGAGCCCTAAAGACTCTTTTGGGAAAGAGAGCAGAGGGAAAATTGTTTTCATGAATAAATCCCAATCCTCAAAGCACTACTACTGATAGTGAAGGGAGGTCGAGACTCAACACTTCCTACTACTTTGGTCACATTTCAGAGAAGTAGTATAATGGTGCTGCTGATAAACATACAGCACAAAGCTTGATTTGTGACCTCTCTCCAGGATTAGCTGAGTTTTGTGTTCTTTTATTACACGACCAGACCAGGGGCACCAACAGGAGTAGACATAATACATATTCACTTAAAGAAGAGAGCCTGTGGATTACAGAAAGGCTTCCTATGAGACATGAAAAGGCAACAGTGAGAGTCTGAAAAAAGTTCTGTGATCTAATATATGATTCTTGTCCAAAATACATCACACTTCTATTAATGTCGAAAATCGTTTCTCAATGATTAGATTAGAAACATTATAAGCAGATTTCATCACTCTTGGGTTGACAGCTACTATGAGATTACCTGTTTTAATGTCCATTTTCAACTGCTATTGGAGTCTTTTGTCAACTGACATCAACAACTTCTTCCAACTATACTTCAATTGAAAAATAATAATGAAATCAAAACCAACTATACTTCAATTAAAAACTTAATTAAAAAATTTCTTGACCCTCAGACACTTTAAAAGATCAACTGAGTCTTGAAATCTGGAAGGTATTGTATGGTTTAAGGCACTGGGGACCCAAAGCAGGAGATATCTTTGCTTCAATTTCTGGCCACTTGCTGTGTGAGAAACTGATGAAGATGATGATCATGTTAATGAAAAGTTATCTTGGAATTCTCTGAGGGCCTAGACTATCCCTTTCACACCAGCCAGGCCGGGAATGAAAGCAAAGTGGGCTCAAGGATGACAGGTGCCTAGTCATGGGCTCTCCAGGCTGGGAATGAAAGCAAAGTGGGCTCAAGGATGACAGGTGCCTAGTCATGGGCACCTCTCTGGTGGCAGCATATGGCTCCCATGGAAGAGTGAACCCCAGCTATGGGCCTGGACACTTTCCGGCTGTGCGTTTGGCCATGATGAGCAACAATCTCAGCTTAATTCAATCAGGGTTGATTCCTCACTCATCCTCCACATCTAGCATGGGTTGGCAGGGGGGCTCTGCTCACTGTGCCCGAGGGAAGGGGACAGGTGTCGAAGGTCTTGCAGTGGCAATCCACACACACCCTGCCACTCACAGCTCACTGGATAGAACTGTCACGTGGCTCTGACAGATCACAGGGGACAAGGGGTGGAATCCTATCAAGGGCATAGACTGGGAGAGAACTGGAATTATTTGGCAAAGAGCATTGACTACAACATATTATTTCATAAAATAATAACCCATTATTTGGAAAACCATGGCTTTCCCTGGAAAATGTCTGTCTGCTTACTTCCCACAAGTTAGGAAATACATTACATTCTGAACAATAATTGGGCATTCCGTTTCTCAATTCAGAGCAGGTCTAAGTAGAGTTAGACTTACTCTATTTCTATTTTTTGCTCCACTCTTCAGTTTTAAGTCACAGCATCACCATAGAGAGAAGCCATTGATTGGTGTCATCGATGAACCCACCAGAATATGACAGAACAAACACGAAACGTGTCTCCATTTGCCTTCTCATTTGTTACTCCTGATTCTGGTTCTTCATGGACACGTTCTCTGAACAGGCAGACAGCTTCTCTTCTAATTTATGATGCCAATACACTGTATTTTTGTTGGGATTTGTAGTCATTATTTTTAATCTCAGTTATACATGTACCGTGTGGAAGAGTCAGAGGTTCTCCGAGGCTTGTTATGAACAACCGTTCACACGGCCCCACCCTCCACTTCCTGCCCTCCTCCCCGCAAGCCACCACTTTCAATTCTTTTGCCCATTTTTTTCACCTCTATCGCTCGAGCTTATATTGCCACCCCTTGATTTTTCTAGACAATATTTATCATTAGAGATTTGCTACGATGGAAGATGAAGATGGAGCCCTGTTGCCCAACCCCCGTGACCCCTCTGCTCCCCAGGCCAACACACAAACCCTTCCCAACTTCTCAACAGGATTTTATCATGACTAACAGTCAACAGAGTTACACTCTGTTGTCTCTGTGAATTTGAGCCCTGGCTCAGTGACAAGGTTTATCAATACCTTTCTTTTCCTGTATACTCTTTAGTTTTCCTTTGGGGTAACTATTGTCCTAGATTTTAATGGCTTATTTTTTTTTATCAAATTTTATCACTCATTCCAACCTAAACTCACCCCGAGTTGTGTAAATTTCTCAATTTGTCCAAATAGATGAGTCACTCTCCCAATTTCATCTTTTTAGGGGAAATTTTCTGGAACCTTCTGACTTATTTCAAGCTGGGCTGGCTGCTGCTGCTGGAGCTGCTCGACAGCTGTGCTTTCTAACAGTCCTGCGATCCCTACAGCACCATCCGAGGGATCCTTGGCCGGGCTCTGGGTACTCCACCGCCTCGTTCTCACCCGTCCTCTATCCTTGATGTACGTGCTCATTTTTGTAGAGGGCCTGCTCCAGTGATTTCTGAGAACAGGTGCACGGGAATACGGGTTTTGGGTCTTGAACGTCTGCAAGTGGCTTTGTTCTGCCCTCACACAATTAGTCTGGCTGGTGTTGGGTCTGGGTTGGAAGTAATTTTCTCTCAGAACTCTGAAGGAATTCCTCCCCTGTCTCACTGCTGGTGTTGCCATGTGAAATTTGGAGCTGGTCTACTTTCTGATCTTTTGTTGGAAATCTTTCTTTTTCCCCAACTCTACGTGTTTGGAGGGTATCTCTTTGCTCCCAGTTTTGAACTTTTTCAGCGATGGATCTGGGTGTGTTTGTTTTCACTCACGTGGGACTTTCAACGAACTTTTTCAGTCTGAAAACTCAGGTGTTTCATTAAGTGGAGACACTTAATGAGCTGTACTTTGGATCATTTCCTTCCTTTCATTTTCTCTGTTCTCTCTTTCTGGAACTCCTTTTGTTTTTTGTTTTTTAAAGATTTTGAATCTTCTGGGCTGGTTCTCTAATTTTCTTATATTTACCTCTTTACTTTCTTTATCTGTCCTGCATTCTATTTTCTGAGGTTTCCTCAATTTTGTTTTCCAACCCTCCTACTGAGTTTCACACTTCAGATGTCCCATTTCCATTTCTAATAGCTTTTGTCGTTGCTGTTTCTCTCAGAATGAGTATTTTTTTCTGACGTATTCTCCTGCAAAGACTTGTTTCCTCCCAGTGGCTTTTTCCTGTTTGTTTCTGTCTGTCTGTCCTCTCAGATGCTGTCTGCAAGAAGCCAGTGATCCTTGGCTGTCTTGCTCATACAGAATACGTTAACTACAAGCCAAGAGAAAGTTCTGTGCTTAGATGGGACTGTGATGGTTGCGTTCACTGGGAAGTGAACTGGCTGCTTCCCTGGATAACCCCAAAGGTCCGTCTGTGTTTTTAAAGTGTGGCTTCTGCCAGGACAAAACCCTTCCAATCTCCTGCCTGAAGAGATCTACTTTCTCATATTCTGGGGAGTCTGGGGACCTCAAATTCAGTATTTTAATATGTTCAACACCCCCTTTTTGAGGAGGCAGTCCCACGCTCAGCTGATCCTCATCTCTCTTGGTCCAGAACTGTTCTGTTTTGCACCTTCCAGAGAACTAAACCTCCAGTCTTCTGCCAGAGCGAGGAAGACAGTCTCTGTGCTTCTTGAAGGAACTTCTAACCAGTCCTCATGTCTTCGACTCCCCTTCACCTTGTGTCTGGTTCCCAAGCTTCCAGAGGGTTTTACCTCTTAAATCAAGTTGCTTCTCGGCTCCTCCCTGCCGCTGGCCTGGCACTCGGCCTTCTCAGGCTGCTAAGTCGGTCTCCACTTAACATCTCTCTCCAAGTAGCAGCATCTTGCTGCTGCTGTCCACTCTCCAGCTTCCTCACTCCCTGAGGGTTTCTCTGTAACGACCTTAACGTCCCTGGAGTGGAGACTGGGAGGGAGCAGAGCTAACTGCTTGCATTAAAGCTGCCATTTTCCAATGGAAGTTTCATCCTGCTCTTCTGCACGTTAGAGAATCATGGTTCCTCCAGGTGGAAAGCGCCCCAGCAGAGTACGCAGTGAACCCTTCCCTTCAGAGAGCAAAGGACGCTGTTGAAATGGCAGGTGAGGTGGTTGAAGCACCAGGAAGCTGCGTGTCCTGGGCGAGGTCAGACACGGTCACCCAGATAGACAAGTCTGTGTGCTGCAAACAATTACCCCTCAGAGGTTTACACCCTGTTTCCCCACCCCTAGCACTATTCCAGCAACACCCAGATCACTGTCGGTAACACCTGACATCGGCATTGCACCCTCCTCCAGTGGGCAGATGAATTCTTCATATTAGAATATTAAGTGTTGAACTAGCTATAAAATGTGACTTTTACTTCTTGTGAAGTTGACTTAAAAGAATTTTCAGACACAACTAGATTTTTGTAAGGAGTTGATACGCGTTAGGTATGACCTTCTGAGTAACACATACAAAGGATCTTAGAAAAACACCTATCAATACATCATAATTTAGAAGTTATTCATATAACTTTTAAAAATAATGGGTAAAATAATTTTTAATTTTCAAGAAATACTTAAAACTGAAAAAAATCTTGGTTTGTTTGAAGTGTCTTATTCTATTGTTTGATAGAAGGCTATTCATTACATTTTAGAAGAAAACCCAGGCTTTGACAAAGGTACTTGTAGAGAAAAAAATGACCAAGATTTGGGGTTCAACTTATTTTAAACTAACGTTACTTTTCTCCCCAGTGTAATACAGACCAGAGACTTCACATATCACTAAATTATAATAAAATTAAAATGTTTATGAAATAATTCATTTTAGTCTGTAAACATTTTTAAGAACTTTAGAAAAGTAGAAGCTTTAACAGACGCAGCATTCCCAAGGAAAATGAAGGAGAAAAAGAAAATTGTGCACTTACAGATTCTTTTCTGCCCATAGTTTTGCTGTGCGAGCGGGAACGGGAGATGTTGCTGAAAAAGGAGTCCTTTTTAGTGGCAGATGAAGGCGGGGAGCCAGTGAACTCTCTTCCTCCAGGCAAACTCTCAGTGCTTGGAGATGAACTGATGTTTTTAGAACTTTGTCCTACAAGAAAAATGAAGAAGCAATAATGAAACAGCAGACTTTTTCACTGCTACCGAATTAACTGCTTTTAATAAATGATCAGTAATGATATTTCTTTATTCACACTGTCAACATAATGACACTGTGGAGTAAGATGCATGCATTTTTATGTATCAGAATAGTGGCCAATTTTTTTTTCTTTTTAATGGAGGTACTGGGGATTGAACCCTGGACCTCGTGCATGCTGAGCATGCGCTCCCTACCTGAGCTATATCCCCTAGCCACGCTGTCAATTTTTTAAAGCAATGAAGTACTGCTACAGTTTTCTACAAGTTATTTACACTACAATGGCCTAAGTGTAGTACACATGTAAAAAAACCTGAAAAATCCAATTTTTAGAAATTACAGGTTAAAAGACTGGATTTTCCCTCACTAATGGAATCATCCTTCATAATAGAAGCCCGAACCGATTATACTGCACATCATCTTATTAATATAAAAAGGTCTAAATCCTTCACCAGTTTTTCAAGAGCCTCTTTCCTTTTCATTAACTGCAGAACAGACACACCGTGACCCCCAGACCAAGGAAGAAGCATCTGGAAACGGGACAAGGTTTAGGCGCACAGGGCGGCATGCCAGACTGGCTCCCCCGTTAGCAGGCCTGCATCTGTGACTCTGGCAGGGCCCTATTCACTGACAGGTTCTAGAGCCATAAAGCTCCTCAGACAGGAGCGGGGGCTCCAGGGAGCCCTGCGGGGAGGGTGGCAGGGTGCGGAAGACAGGTGGACAGAACTGGCTACGGCCAGGCCCGCGTGGGTCTCACTTACACAACGGGGAGACTCCTGGAAGACTGTCAGGGGGACTTAAGGACCAAGCGCAGTACCTGGTGTGCATTCATTTGTTCACTCATTCATTCACTCGTTCATTCACCCACAGCAACTGAAGGCCTAGTCAGTGCCAGACGCTTCTAGGTGCAGGGAGACCGAGGAAACTAGACCATCAAAAATCCCATCCTGGGAGAGGATACAGCTCAGTGGTAGAGCGCCTGCTTCGCATGCACGAGGTCTCGGGTTCAATCCTCCAGTACTTTCAATTAAAAAAAAATAATAAAAATAATAAAAAAAAAATAATAAAAAATAAAATAAAATAAAATATTGGGAGTTGGGGTATAGCTCAGTGGTAGAGCGCATGCTTAGAGTGCAAGAGATCCTGGGTTCAATCCCCAGTACTTCCATTAAACAAATAAAGTTAAAATAAAATAAAATATTAGGGGTCGGTGGGTAGAGCTCAGTGGTAGAGTGCCTGCTTAGCATGCATGAGGTCCCGGGTTGAATCCCTAGTACCTCCATTAAATAATTAAGTAAATGAATGAATGAATAAGCAAACTAACAAACCTAATTACCACCCTCCCCCAAAATTCCATACTTCAAGGAGTTCACTTGCTAGTGAGCAGAGACAAATACATGAATAAAATATGTATGATTTTAGATGTTAGTAAACACTGCCGGGAAAAATAACGTAGTCAAAGGGGCTATGAGTGTCTGACGAAGGCGTGAGGTCTGAAACAGGACGGTTGAGAATTGAGGTGCGTGACACCTGGGCAAAAACTTGAAGAAGGTAAAATATCAGCTTGGCAGGTTAATATGAAGGGACAGCAGGTGCCAAGGCCCCAAGCAGGACCTTTGTGTTATGGGGGACAGCAGGGAGGCCAGGGCGAGGTCTGGGAGCTGGTGGGCATCGTGGCAGGTGGGGACCTGTAGACAATTTTCATGACTTTTCCTCTGAGACGGGAAACCACTGGAGGATTTGAGCAGAGGAGTGACAAGATTTGATTTAATTTTAAAGGGATCAATCTGACTGCTGTTGTGGTGAACAGAATGAGGAGTGAGAGAGGGCAAAAGAAGTGGGGAAACAATTTTTCCTGCTGCAAAAATCCTGGTATGAGAGGGAGCTAGGGGTCAAGTTTAACTCCACGTTCTAAGATTAGACAGTGGTGATGGTTGAACATCCCTGCGAATACACTAGAATTTTACACTTCAAAAAGGTGATTTTATGGCATGTGAATTATTATTATTTATGATTAACCTGTGATTTTTATAAAGTCAGTTTTCACATGTGACTGCCGGCCAGGGACTGGCAGTGAGGGCGGGCCGTTTCCACCTACGCCGGGCTCCCTGCTGAGCCGGCAGACTTCCAGGTCATCTGCATTGCAATCTGATGCACCTCCTTCTGAGTTCCATCCCCTCCTCTCTTCCCTTCACAGATGTTATTCCCCAATAAACCTTTTGTACGTCTAACTCCATCTCAGGGTCTGTCTCCTGGAGAATCCCACCTGCAACGGGGGATGCTGGGGTGAGCCCTGACGGAGCCTGGGGGTGGCCCTGAGGTCGGGGGAGGAGAGGCAGCAGGGGCCCGCTGTACGAGCATCCCGCGCTGACCTCAGGGTCCAGACTATCAAAGTCAGCCTGCATCTTCGCTTCTTCCCTGCTCTGCCTCCTTCTGTCTCCCGCCACCCGCAGGCTCTGGGTCTTCACTTCCCTAGGCTCCATTCATGGCAGTGATCTCCGGAGTACAGGGTCCTAGAATGATGGAGCTGACAAGGACCCCGGGAACCACCTACTTGTTTTCTCTTTTAAAATTATGCCGCTAATACATAAAACATTTTTACCATAAATAGATCAAATGTGAAAACTGCCTTTATAAAAAAAAATCAGCTTTACTGAGTGGTAATTCATACACCATAAAATTCACCTTTTAAAAGTATATACTTCAGTGATTTTTAGTATATTCAGAGATTCTCAATCATCACCATCTAATTTTAGAACATTTCTGTCACCTGCAAGAAACCTCCTGCCCCTTAGTGGTCACTCCCAATACTGTCCTCTCCATAGCCCTCGGTAACCACTAATCAACATTCTGTCTCCAAGGCTCTGCCTTTTCTGGACATGTCATAGAAATGGGATTAAACAATGTATGAGCTTTTGTGACTGGCTTCTTTCAGTTGGCAAAGTGTTTTCAGGACACATTTATGCTACAGCCTATATCAGGATCTCATTCACTTTTCATTGCCAAATAATATTCTATTGTACAAATAGACCACATTTTGTTTATCCATTCATCAGTTAATGACATTTAGCTTGTACCCATTTCTTGGCTATTACAAATAATGGTACTTTAAACATTCATGTATAAATTTTTGCGTAGACACATATTTTCATTTCTGCTGGGTCAATACGTAGGACTCAAATTGCTGGGTCAATATGTAAGTCTGTGTTTAACATTTAGAGAAACTGTCAAATTGGCTTTGAAAGTAGCCACACCATTTTACATTCCCATCAGCACTGTACGAGGGTTCCAACTTCTCCAAATCCTTGTCAACACTTACTTGGCTGTTCTTTATTTTAGCCATCCTAGTGGGTATGAAGTGGTATCTCACTGTGATTTTTATTTGCATTTTATCAATTCATGTGCTTATTAGACATCTGTGTATCTTCTGTGGAGAAATGTCTATTCAAACCTTTTGCCCATTTTGAACAATGGGTTATCTGTCTTTTTATTGTTGAGCTGTAAGAATTCTTCATATATTCTGTGTACAAGTTCCTTCTCATATATATATATATATATATATACACACACACACACATATATATATATACACACATATATATATGTATGTAATTTGCAAAAAATTCTCCCATTCTCTGCACTGTCTTTTCACCTCCTTAATGGTACCCTTTGAAGCCAAAAAGTGTTTAATTTTGATGAAGTCCCATTTACCTATTTTTTCTTCTGCTGTTTGTGCTGTTGGTATCATAAGAAGCCATTGCCTAATCACAAAGATTTACCCCTATATTTTCTATAAAGTGTTACAGTTTTTGCTCTTGCATTAAAGTCTATGATCCATTTTGAGTTAATTTTTGTATATAATGTGAGGAAGTAGTTCATCTTCATTCTTTTTCATGCAGAGATACAGTTTTCCTAGCACTATTTCTAGAAAAGACTATTTTCTCTCCATTGAATGGCCTTGGTACCTGTGCTGAAAATCAACTTACCAAAATTGTAAGGGTTTATTTCTGTGCTGGCAACTCTGTTCCATTTACATATGCTTATCTTTAGGACAGTACCACGCTATCTTGATTACTGTGTGATACATACAGTAAGTTTTGAAGCCGAGGAGTATGAGCTTTCCAATTTTGTCCTTTTTCAACCCTGTTTTTTTTACCATTAGGGGGGCTTTGCATTTTCAGATTAATTTTATGATCACTTTGTCAAATTTTCCCAAAAAGACACCCGAGATTTTGACAGTGATTACAATGAATACACAGACCAATTTGGGTAGTAATGCTACCTTAACAATATAAGATAAAAGCTAAATACATTTATACTGTATTTTGTATTTACTGATGCAGTTACATTTATCTATGCTTTTTCTTTGTGTGGGTTTGAAGTAACTTACAGTATCCTTTCATTTCAGCCTGAAGGACTCCCTTTACTATGTCTTATAGGGCAGATTTCCTAGCATCGAATTCTGTTTTGTTTTATACGTGACTGTCTTAATTTCTCCCTTCTTTTAGGAGAACGATTTTACTGGATAAAGAATGATATAGTCCTATTGCCTTCTGGCCACCAAGATTTTTAATAAGTCAGCTATTAATCTTATTGAGGTTCCCTCGTACACCATGAGCTGTTTTTCTCTATCTGCTTTCAAGATTCTCTCCTGTCGCTGGGTTTTAGCAGCTTGCCCATGGTGTGTTTAGGTATGGACCTCTTTGAGTTTATCCTGTTTGGAGTTCATTGATCTTCTTGAATACACAGACTAATGTGTTTCACAAAGCTGTGGAGTATTTCAGCCAGCATTTCTTCAACACTCTTCCTGTAGCTTTCTCTCTCTTCTCTCCTTCTGGGACTCCCACCATCTGCGTATTTGGTATACTTGATGGCATTCTGCAAGTCTTTGAGACTCTGTTCATTTTCTTCCATTCTTTTTTTGTCTTTGTTTTTCAGACCAGATCATCTCAATT